TTAAATACAAGAAGAGATATTTCATGCTCGTGGATAAGACGACTCAACATCATTAAGATGTCAGTTCTTTCCAACTTGACCTATAGATTCCATGCAAACCCAATCAAAATCCCAGGGTTATTTTGGGGATATCAACAAACCGATTCTGAAGTTTTTATGGAGGAGGCAAAAGACCCAGCATTGCCAATATGGTGTTGAAAGAGAACATAATTGAAGGGCTGGCATTACTCAACTTCAAGATGTACTAGAAACCTACAGTAATCAAGAATAATAGACAAATAGATCAATGGAAGACAGCGCCCATCCTTCCTCACCCCACTCACCTCCAGCCTGTGGGATGTTCCTTTGTTCCAGGAACACAGTGTATATCCTCCTCACCTCCAGGCTTTGGCACATGCTATTCCCTTGCCTGAAACACTCTTCCCCATCCTTCACCTGCAGTCACCTAGCTAATTCCTACTCCTCCTTGCTGTCTTCCCTTCAATATGCTTTCCCTCCATTCCCAGCCCCTAAGCCCGAGGCCTTGTCCCCCAACCCCAGGAAAAATGCTAGGCTTTCCCAGAACCCAATTTTCCCTTCACTGCCTTGTGCACACTCTCAAATTGTTGGAGGGTCATTTGTATTTATTCTTTGAATGGCTGGTGTCCCCTTCTAGGCTGGAATCTTCATGAAGGCAAGGAATGAATGCACGTCTATTCCCCAGGATGTTGTCTGTTAACAAATACTGATGGGCTGGCAGATGGATCCGTAAATAATTTTGGCCTCTGTGTCCCTGTGCTGGAATCAATCTGTGTGGGTTTGTTTAGCCATGTTACCCGAGCCGATTTCCCTTTGTCAAGGTGTCTGCAGGTTTAGTTAAATGACAGTCCCTGTGGAGGATGGAGAAGCTCCCAGCTGCTTCCCCTTGTTGAGAATAAGAAGTTCATACGAAAATACCATCACAAGTCCTAGGCAGTCTGCACTCAGGGACGCATGGGTGCTGCAGAGAACTGGGGGAAGGCAGTCAAGGGACCCGCACCCCAACCCCCCATCGCCTTTCTCCATAGCACGTGGAACCCTCTAAGGTACTAAATAATGTGCGTAGTTATTTGTCTCCTATTTGTCTCTCTTGATTGAAATATAAGCTGCATGTGAACAGGTGTTTTGTTGATTTCATAGCTGTATCCGGAGTGCTGAGAACAGTGTGCGATATTCTAGTGCTTGATAAATATTTATTCAATGAATGAACAGTCAATTAATGAATGAAATGCACCACACAGTGAAATGCAGCATTTGTTCACCTGCTACACATCCGTCATCACCGCCGTGAAAAAGGCAAAGGCTCTTTCTTCTGTATTGTCCCCAACCCTGGGGGCACTAGAGTGAGCAAAGGAGGAAGGAGGGTAGAAAGGGTAGAGAGGCTAGTGCCCCTCCCCGCTAAGGACCCTAAACATTAACCACACCTGAGTAGAAGGGATTAGACTTGAGAGATGCAAAGAAACTGAGTCCTGGTGACCTTTCCTTAAGCCCCTGGATACAGCAATACCTGAAGCCAGATCGTTTCTTGCATTAGTTTTCTACTGTTACATCAGTTTACCACACACTCCATACATTCCATACAACCCCTATTTTTTGGATCACAATTCTATAGGTCAGAAGTTCAGCGCAGCATGACTAGGTTCTCAGCTCTGGGTACCGCAAAGCTGAAATCAAGGTGTTGAGTTCTTACCTGAAGGCTCTTCAAGCCGACAACACAGTGAATCTGAGTCTCCAACATCCCCTGTCTTGGAGCCCTAAACTCAGATTTAAAGGGCTGGAGTCATTAACTCACGTCCACCTGCGTGATCTCCCTTTCGATTAACACAAGGCCAACTAATTAGTGACCCGATCTAAACTTGCACGATCCCTTCCGTCACATAACACCACAGAACCACAGAAATAGTATCTCAGTAAATTTACGGACTCAAGAAGAGGTGACACCAGGCTCACTGGGGGTCACCCAGAATTCCGCTCACCACACGTCGGACGCCTCGGTGAGATGAGACCTTCCATACCATTGAATTGTTCACTTTAAAGGGGCGAATTTCTATTTCAACACGTTACGATGAAGCCAAAAAAAGAAAAAAAAAAAAAAAGGAAAAAGAGCCTTGATGAAACAGAAGACCAAGAAACCCAAAGATCAACACGGCTTGGGAAGGCGGGCTTGTCTGCACTATGTCTGCGTGAAGCGGAGCCTTAAGCGCGGACGCCCTTCCTGGACAACTGCACAGGCACAACAGCTCCGCGGGGAGGGGGAGGGGAGCTAATCTAATTATGGTTGAAATTTCTCATATTCCCGGCCGTCAACCGGACGCACCGCTTATGAAAACTCTTGCTCACAACCGCCTATAATTTGATAGGTTTGTGAAAGAGAAATCCTTCTGCACTTCCTCCCACGAAAGGAAACTTAATGGTTTATGGTGAGCGTTACAAATCAGTTCTTATCTCAAAGGGAAACACGCTGCGGCTGTAAGAGCCAGAGGCCATCCCTCTCCCTGGAGCACTTTCCAAAGAGACCATTTATTACAAAGTAATTTGTAGATCCCTCTGATAGGGGGACAGCTTAATCCATGGCGCCCCTCGGCTAGGGAGGTGTGTGTGTTGACGACCAGGGGGTGTCACCGAGACCCGCACGGTCCCGAGGGCTCCGAGGCGGCCAAGCTTGAGGCCCGTGCTCACCTGGCGTCCTTCTCACATGACGGTCCCACACACTCGCAGGAGTGACCTCCAGCAGCTACGTGACTTGGGCTCGGGTCCAGGGCTGCCCGGATGAGGACAGGGCACCTGACCTAATCAGGGCCAAGAAGAACGTGCCAAATGTCACTGCACTCAGGAGACCGAGATTGAGCAGCTAAATGGCCCGAGAGGACAGGGTGGCCACCTGGGATTGGGACCACGTGCCTTCCCAAGCCTGGGCCCCGCCTCCTACCTGCCACTTCCCGCACGTGTCCCGGGTCCTGGCCGCACACTCTCCCCTAAGTCCAGCCCTCTGACCGGGTGTCTGCCCTGCACGACCAGAAGTTACCTTATACACTTGCACAAACCCTGTTTTGTTTCGTCCCCCGAGACAAGATCTCAGAGTTTCGAAAAAGGGATCCAGCTAAGCGCTGGCACCAGAGGGTTAGCCTTTCCTCCGGCAGCAGGAGAGTGGGAGCCAAGGGACATCGTCTCCGACGCCACCAGGCGGGCCAAGGTCCAGACAAGGTCCGCGGCGGTGACTGACGGAGACCCACCTGGGTGACGTGAGCCCAGCGGGCTTTGTCCACAGCATCTCAAGCCCCACAGACCGAGCGCTCGGGACACCAGGCAGGAACCACAGGGGCCGTGGGGCCAAGAGATGGCATGTTACACGCGGAACCGGGGGACCTGGATGACGCCCCGGGACAAGTGACCTCCCTCCACTCGACCTCCTTTCCTTCCCTGGCTCAAAACCAAGTCCCAGGAAACAGCATGTGACAGGCCAGCCCTAGACCAGTGCCCAGCGCCCAGACAGCAGGGTAGGAGAGGGAGGCCTCGCCCCTCTGCTTTCCGGGTGGAAAGCGTCCCTGGGAATCGCCCTCAACCCTCCCACCCGGGGAGGGAGGCTCCCAGAAGGAAGCCGGGCAGCTCCAGAGAGGGGAAGTGGGTACCGGGGAGCCACAAATGGCTCCTGTCCCCTACCCATCACCTGGGATGCGACCACCGTGAGCCTTGCATGCCGGACTCATGACTCTCAGCTTCCCTCCAGGGGCAGGCGGGGTCAGGGGACCCGTGATGGCTCCTCGTGGAAAAGGCAGCTCTCTGGACTCAATTCCGGCAGAAGCCATGCTGGGCTGTACTCACGGGATTATTTAGTTTTACAACGAATGTTTACAACTCTTACAATAAAACTGATTTTCATTTAGGGGAAAAAAAGCCAGTTTCTGAAAGTGGCAAACCAGAAGCTGAGGCCGCTGGGCTCAAACTCCTCCGGTTGGTCGTCTGCCCGCTTTCTGTCCTCACCGCGGCCCCAGCGCTGTGGTCGGTTCCCGGGGGGGGTCAGACGGCGGCTCCCCAGAAACACCGCCTGCAGGCGCCTGGCCGGGCTCTCCAGTTACCGCGGCCCGTCCCTTAAACCGCCCGCAGCCCGACCGGATCAGGAACCAGCGATGCGGCCCCTGCCTGCGTAGACGCGGCCGACACGCGCCCACGTCTGGCTGCCCGCACTTCTCGAAACAGGGTCATCCGGCCGGTTCCCTTTCACCGCAGTGGCCTCTTGCCTTGGGCCCGTCGAGCCGTGTGCCCAGCAGCACGTTCGGGGGGCCTGTCACCCCTTCCCGGAAGAGCGGCCCCAAGGCCCCAGGCGCGGTCATGCGGGTGCCCTCCGCACGTCTGCGGGGGCGCGTTCCCACCAGGGCGCGAGTGGTGCCCCCCCGAGGTGGGCACGGGCCTGCACCGGCCGCCTCGCCCTGGGCCCCAGGAAACCCTCGCCCGTCCTGCAACGTCGGCTCAGGCCCCTCGGAGACCTCCCATCCCGGCCTCACCCCTGCCGTCCCGGAGATCTCTGCGCAGAGCGGGCTGTGCTTCCGGCCGGGGTTTCCGGGGACCCCCCTCCAGCCCGTCCCCCTGCCCCCGTCCCGGGGCCTGGGGAGGGGGCACCCCCCCCCCCCCCCCCCCCCCGGAGGACAGGGACGCTCTCCAGGCAGAGCCGCGGCCAACGGCCCGCGCATTTTGGGATCCGCACAGGCCTCTCTCAAGCCGGCGGCCACACCTGACCTTCCTCCTAGTCGGTCAGCGGCAGACGACGCTGCCTTCGTCGCATCTCAGACACGCGATGAGGTGCATCACCGCTCACGTGTCACTACGCGGGGAAACACTGACAGTTCAATTAGGAGGCGATGGCCGGGGTCCCATCGATGACACGACACCACGAGGTCAGAGGGACGTCAGCACGCAAAAGGGGGCATCTCCGGGCCCGGAGAATCGGTGTTCTTTCCGCTTTATAGATCCAGAAACCGATTCCGAGGGGGTTCCCGTCTGTTCACACACACCCGGCGGGCCACAGGTCAAGCCTGGGCTGTGACCTCTGCCCCCTGGCGACCGTCCCCAGTCTGGGGTGGGCGGGAGGCGTGCTGCCCATCCCCCTCCCGGGAAGGCCTTGCTGCCCAGTGTGGGACGTGGGCCCCGCAGACAGCCTCCCAAAGAGCCCTGAAGGACGGGTCCACGCGTTTCGCCAGTGGTGGCGGTTTCAGGCTGGGGGTACTGGTTGCCCTTTAAAACTGGCCTGGGATCCATGGAAGAACCGGGGATGTGCTGAGGGACTGGAGAAAAGGCAGCAGCCGGGAAAGCGTCTCCCCAGGTGAGGGAACTGGCTGGGAGCGGAGGGGAGAGGCGGGGAGAGAGGAGGACAAAGACCATCCCTCCACCCTCCACCCCGGGAGGCAAGACGCGAGGAGGTGAGAGGCTGCAGCTGAGGGGAGACCGGAGGGTCGGCTCCGCATTTGCCACAAACCCTCGTGTCAAGAAGCACGTCATTCTTGCCCAGCCAAGGTGGTTTTGTGGCCACACTGGTTTGCACAGTTGTTCATTCCGTAGATACTTACAGAGGCAAACCGGGGGCTACTCGCTCTTTCGAGTGCTCGAGATAGAGTGGGGAGACAAAGCGTCAAATTTCTTCCCTCGGAGCTTACTTTTTGGAGGAGGGAGATTAGAAACTAAAGAAAAAGAGTGAAAGGACCTCGTACCAGACGCAGGTTACACGCCCCATCCGATTTTCCCAGCCCCACCTGTCTCCCGCCACGGAAACTGATTCCCTGCAGGGCCACGGGATCCCAAGTGCTCTGACCGCCTCCTACTCACCCCGTTGGCGAGGGAGGGGTCCCCCACCCCAAACAGGAACTTTTGGTAAGTTGAAGGTTTGCTGTTCCATCAGAGGCTGTGAGTCCCGCACAAGTCCCTCGCGACCTCAAGGCGTCACTCTCCCCGGGACCCATCTCAGGATGTCCTGAGACGGACGTGGTCTTCTCGGAACCCCAGCGGAAGCGGGGTCTCGTCCGTCCCGCAGGGTCCTTTATCCTGCCCTGGGCAGCACCAAGGGATGTCAGAGGGGTGCGCGGTTACAAATGAGGGGACTGAAGCCCAGGAGGAAAGACGACCTGCGCAGCCCTCACGTGGTGGCAGAGCTGGGACCTGAACACTTGCCTCTGGTCAAGGAACGTCAGAGGTGCTGTGACAGGTCCTCTGGATGCTGGCGTGAACGTTGAGGCTCATTCACGACAACACAGGATGCGAAACCTTTGGCAGAATCTGCAAGCCGTGCCTGCATGACTGGGATGCTTTTCCTGTTGGGATGTTGGTTTGGTTTTTTTGTTTTTTAATTAAGCTCCACACCCAGCATGGGGCTTGAACCCACGACCCCGAGATCAAGAGTCTCCACACACCGAGCCGGCCAGGCGCCCTGACTGCCAGGCTTTGAATAAAAGTCTGTCCAACCCAAGTTATCTGGGACATCGACCCCGCTTTCCCTTCCCCAGCCTGTGCTGGTTCTCCCGAATACTTGAACCTGAATTCATAGCTTGCATCCGGGCCTCCGGTTTCTTACTTCCGCCTGCTGGGAGGAGGGCAAATGAGGGGACATTTAATAACCTGTTTCCACTCTCTGCTCGCATGATATTAATTCGAGTATACAGGATCTTTCGTGCTTCGCCAACACAAAGACGCAATTTCATACGTGAATGAGTCAGTGTCGAATGGGAGGGGGAGGTGGGAGGGAGGCCGTGTTTTCTTGACTCCTCTCAAAGGGTTTCTTATTTCATATCGATACAGATCAGGGACCGTGGATTATGCCGACAAGCTCATAAAGTGGTTACTACTCACCAACAGGGCCAAGGTCTTGTTTCCTTGACGAGTTGTTGATGGCGATTGCAGAGGATGTCCGTGAACTTGAAATTGCCTCGGTTCCCCACCAGAGACCTTGAACTTGAGCCCTTCCTCCTCCACACAGAGGTACAAATGACACTCATGGTGTGCTCATTGTCGAGGGACATGGAGAAGAGCAATTAGACTGAGTCGTAGGAGAGGGAAGGACGCATCGCTAATTGGAGCGCATTACAGGCTTCGAGAAGCTGACGCGGTATAAACAGCAAAGCCCCACACGTGACAGGCAGAGATGAACGTATTTGGAGCCAGAGGTCATTAACACGGACAACTGACGGGCTCTGTGACCCGGAGGGGGAGGGAAACTCACTCTGCCATGCAACAGTATGTAAACATGGAATTGTATTATTTTTCACAAGCCATTATCTTCACACGATGATTTCAGGGATCCTTCAAGGAGGATAATTGATCACCTGACAAAGAACTTGTAGCATTTCTTTCTCACATTAGAAGAGGGAAACACCAACCATCCAGCTCTTTTGAGCAGAGAAGGACCATTTTTCAGAGGAAACACTGCAAACTTTGTAACAACGGGAGCCCAGGGAAACACAAACGCGTCTCGCCTTCTTGACGAATAAGATTTAATTGGGAGCCTCCTCGTGCCGGGAAACAAAGGTTCACCCGTGCGTCGCAGGGAGAAGCCACAGGCCAAGCGTGAGTCTCGTTGAAATACAGCCACACGTTGGCCTCTTCATTATTCATAAACGACCCTGTGACGGAACTTCACCGCTCCCCCGATTTGCAGTTAATTCTCTGTCTTTGCTCCCAATGCTGCTTGTGCTTCGTAATGACATCGTCCGTTCACCCCTCAGCGGGCGCAGATGGAACACAGAGGCCTGGGGTTACCCCCTCGAGGAATTTTCATAATGTTCACATGTCGCGGGGGTACCCGCGAGCGCTGAGGTTGCTGGCCCAGAGATGCGCCCGTGTCTCCGGGGCCCCGCGCCAACCACAGCCGGGCGGGCTCCGAACTCCCGGCCCCGCGGTGCTCGCCACTCAAGGCCCCCGAGGCCGCTACTGCCGTTCGGAACCCGACCCCCCTGTGACTCCGGACGCGTCCTGAGGCTTCTGCGCGAAGCCCTGCGCCCGACTTGGCCCAGAACAAGGCCCCGCTGCTGACTGAGCCCAGGCCCCTGCCGCCCACGCCGGGCTTCCTTGCTCAGCATTTCCTGACCCTCTGCACTGGTTTCCTCTGAGACGTGACCAAGGCCCTAAAACAGAGGTCCACCGTCCCACCCAGGCTCTTAGCCGGGAAACAGGCTGTGACAGGCAACGAGGAGGAAAACGAGAGGCCCAGACCAGCAAAGATCCCTTTACAAATGGGAACATCCAAAAAGGCCAGTGTGATCCCAGTCATACCCCGGCTTCAAACCTTCCAGACGGCCCTCAGCCCTCAGGATGGAGCCCAAACTCCCACGGGACCCGCCCCTCACCAGACCCACCACCCACCGCTCACAGTGTCCCCCTGGTCCCGGCCACACTGGCCTCTCCTCTGGCCTTAGACACACCACGCTCCTGGCACCTGAGGGCCTTTGCACATGCTGTTGCCTCCTCCTGGAGGATCTACCCCAAGCCCTCACCTAGTTACCTGCAGCCCACCTGTCAGGTCTCAGAAGAAACAGCACCTCCTTGGAGGCTCTGCTATGTTTCTCATCAGCCCCCAGCTCGTCCCAGGGCCCAGGTCTGGTCCCCAAAGCCCCTCTCATGATGCCATGTGTCTTTCTTTCCCAGCAAGGACCACCTATAATAACATGAGGTCTTTATTATGTGAGGATGATCCAAATAGATAAAAAGGCGACTTTAGGCGAATCCAGTTAATTTGGGTACCAAAGTTCCACAGCAAATATTTGTGATGTATCTACAACATTTACCTGGGATTTACTGCAGGCCAGATCTGTTCTCAGTACTCTACGTATATTAAAGCAGTCAATCCTCCACACCATAGATACTGTTATTATTATTCCCATTTTACAGATGGGGACGCTGAGGCACAGGAAGTTTTCCCCACTGGCAACTGGCAGGGGAGTTCCTGTTCTCAACCACCTCTTCTGAGCAAAGGCTTTATCTAGAAAAATGAAACTGAACTTGATGGAAAAATAAATTTTAATCTCATAGGTGACAACTCCCAGGTGATGGCGGGAAATGCACCCTAATTCTCAGAGTAATCCAAAAGAATCAAGCACCGCTTCCATGACATTTCCGATACAAGTGCAGGGCGTCCACTGCCCTTCCCTCCAGGTTCGACTTCCACGCTGATCAAAGGAGAGTCGGGGCCTCTGGAACCTCCCCAGGGCCTCGCCTGTCCCTGGGGGTCGGTTCTCCCCCGGACAGCCCGCCCCCTCCTCTGCGCCAGGGCTTCTCCTCTCTGGTGTTAAGGGCCTGAATCTGCCAGATCCTCCTTGTCTGTGACCTCGTGGGTGAGGGTCGCCCGCGGCCATGTGGTGAGGTGGGCCAGCCCACCAGGGCCCCCTGGTGCCCCCACCGTGTCATCTGCCATGAGACCCCTGGAGGGGACCCGCCTGGTCACTCGCACCCATGCGTCGCAGAGGACGGCCAGCTCTCACAGCCTGCTGTGGAATGTTCAGGAATTTCACCACCTGGTCGCTGGGGATCAGCCGGCAGGAGGATTCACCCCTCGGAAACCAGCAACTGCTACAAACCAGGGCGATTTTCCCCTGGAGCCCGGGTTGACCAGCAGCCCCTGCGGTCACATCTCTGGCACAGCCCTGACCTTGGGGTGGAAACCACGTCATCAGAGTTGGGCTCGCCTTCCGCGTCCAGACCCCAGCTTTCCCCGGGGCAGGGGTCGTGAGCCCCGAAACTGCTCTGCTGAGACCCCTCCTCTCCCAGCACCTTCCTGCGGGAAGGACAGAAACAGGTCTGGGAAGGGCGCCTGGCCCTCGACCCTGCAGTGACAATCATTTCAGCTGCTTTCCATAAATCAAGAAATCTTCCGTTTTAATTCGTTCATCAAAGATATTTTTCCTTTCCGAGACGTTGACTTGGTTCCTTTTTTTAGTTTCTTTGTCCGCGTGGCAAGTAAACAGCCAACTGCCTGAATGGGGAGCGTGGTTAGTGGAGATGCCTTAATTGGCTAATTTGCTTAATCTCTACGAGGGAGCGCAATCAGAAGGCATCTCAGCAAAAGTGTCCTTTCCTGCCCGGGCTGGCTGCGGGGCCTGCAGGGGGGCGGGCAGGGGAGGGGGCCCATGCCCCACCCGCTCACCCGGACTAGAATCCCCGAATTTTCACACGCCAGCCAGCCGCACAAGGCGGGAGCCTGCGTGCCAGCCGAGAGGCTGAGGACCACTTCAGATGGAGGAGGAAGCCCCTTAGTTTCTGCCAGTGGGAAGGCAGGGGGAGGGCTGTGGATCCCTGGGGAGCTCAGGCCAGGGTCAGAGCTGCACCCGCACCAGCCCCGCCCACCCCCTCAGGCCTCACCCCGCAGGCCACGCCCCCGGGGCCCCCCTCCCTGTGGGGCTTCCTACCGAGGGGTACCAGGCACAGGGGGAGGGAACCCGCTCCCCTGGACTGTCCCTCCGGGCCAGGGCGGAGCTGAGGTGAGAGGTCCAGATGGCCTTTCCAGGTTCAGCATCAAGGACACAGCCCCTCCCGCTCCCAAGCTCTCTCTGAAAAGCAGGTAAACCATGGTCAAGATGTTCACAATCTATGTTCACGTAGATTTTGACCCTGTCTCCTTATGACTAATTGGTTTCGTCACATTCCTTCCCTTGCAACTTCATCCGAGATGACAGGTTCTTACTAGGGACAGGCTTTTGACCTCTCTCAGCCCTGATTTTCCCGTCTTTTTCGGGTTGCTGTTCCAATCGGACAAATGATGGAGGAGGAGGTACCCAACGCAGAGCCCAGTTCAGATATTTGATTAACAAATTCCTTCAGTCCGTCACTGCCCTGCCTCCTCTCCTCACTAGCTCTTTCTCTTGAATAAGAGAGAGGAGTTCTTAAAATCTGTCTAGATTTTGCACTTTGGAGGTAAAGAAAAAAATAATAGTAATAATAATCCCTGGCCGGTTCCTTATGTCACAGCTTGAGAAGCAGCCATAGGATATTTTCTCAGGGCAGGCTGAGAGTCTGGTGGCCCACAGTCCTGACCACAATTCCTGTCCCTTCTGAATTTGTTTTTCTTTGTTTCATTTTATTTTTCCCAACATTCTTTTTTTAATGTCAAGCTTAACTGTAAGTTCAGAGTATCACAGGGACACAGCAAACATCCACTTACTCATCATTCAGATTCTCCAGCTGAAAACCCCAGGTCAGGCTGCCCATGGGTCATCTCTCTCTCCACGGGCACCGTTGTGTGTGTGTGTGTGTGTGTGTGTGTGTGTGTTCACGTGTGTGTAGTTTTTCTTCTCCAACTAAGCCATTTGAGATGATGGTGTAAAGACCATGAGATTTCATTTCTAAACACTGCAGAATTGTACCACCCAAGGAAAAAGGCCTCTTCCTACGTAATATCAGTACCGTTGTCCCATCCAAGATAGTTAATGTTGATGCAGCAGTATAATCTAACATACGGTCGGAATTTTGTGCTTTTCCTTCAGGATCATGCATTGCCTTTAGTTGCCATGATTCTTTCATTCTCCTTTTTTTTTTTTAATGTTTATTTATTTTTGAGAGACAGAGTGAAAGCAGGGGAGGGGCACAGAGAGAGAGAGAGAGAGAGACAGAATCTGAAGCAGGCTCCAGGCTGTGAGCTGTCAGCACAGAGCTCAATGTGGGGCTCGAACTCATGACACGTGAGATCGTGACCTGAGCTGAAGTCAGATGCTTAACTGACTGAGCTATCCAGGGGCCCCTCTTTCTCCTTAATATAGAGCATTGTGCCATCACTTTGTATCTTAGGATATTGACCTCTTTTAAAGATTCCAGGCAGCTGTTTAATACTAGAAAGCCAGGAAGTACTCAAAGGTGATGGAAACAGGTCGAAAGGAATCAGAAGCTATGGGAAAAGAGCTTCTATTAGACAAAAGTAAAAATATTTGAATATAAAAAAGTGCACAGAGATATGAACACACTGAATCTTTTTTAAAAGAATCCATGAGTTCCTAGTGATACTAAAAGATTATTGGGGTCAAAGACAATTCTTTCTGAATAATGCCAGCTGATTGGTATACAGAATTTTGAAACTTGTTGAGGCCCATCAGTGAACACCAAAACCACGGGGGGAAGCCATTTTGGGGAACACAGGATCCCAGAGTCTCACCCCACCCAGTGCTACTTAGCAGTTACAAAGGGGAAAG